GTCTTCATTGGTTTCTCTGGGTCTGGATAGCATGTGCCTCATTGCAAGTCTACAGCTTCAGGCTGACTGGACAACAGCATTACACTTATATAAATAATGTTATCCTGCCCTGTAATCAAGGTTCAAAATATCAAATAACCATGGGAAAAGAGGGAATTCTGAGAAACGCATGCTAAGCTATCCTTTGTGCTTATCTTATATTCTGCTAGAGAACTGTACTCCTATTTCTGGGGATTTAGCCAGCAAGTTTCCTTGCAAACGTTCTCCAAGGCCTGCTCCAGCCCTAGGAGAAAAGGATCAAATATGGGGGTTCTGCTGTTACAGCTACAACCTATATTAATCAGTTCTTTTTTTTTGACCGGTAGGGAATCGCAACCCTCGGCATGGTGTGGTCTGTACCATGCTCAGCCAGTGAGTGCACCAGCCATCCCTATATAGGATCCGAACCCGTGGCCTCGGCACTAACAGCGCCGCACTCTCCCGAGTGAGCCACAGGGCCAGCCCTAATCAGTGCTTTCTAGAGAAACAGAATCAATAGGATATATGTAGGTATATGAGAGAACATTTGTTATGGAAATTGGCTCACATGATTATGGAGAAGTCCCGTGATAGGCCATCTGCAAGCTGAAGAACCAGGAAAGCTGGTGGTGAATTTCAATCCAAGTTGGAAAGCCTATGAACCAGGGATGAAGGGGGGAGGCTTGCTGGTGTAAGTCCTGGAGTCGAAAGGCCCAACATGCAAAAGCTCTAATATTGGAGAGCAAGAGAAGATGCTGGCCCACCTCAAGAAGAGAGCGCTTTTCAATTCCACCATGGTTACCTTCCTATGGTAACTTCATAATCAGATCTATATTTATTTATTGACATGTCACAATTAAGTAATGTCTAAGCCTTTAGATCACATTTATTTTTCTGTTCTCACTCTTAATGCCTCCATTTTGCTAATGTGGATTGACATTGCTAGTCTAAGGTTTTTCCCTCTGTCTCTTTCTCTCTCTCCTTTTTTTTTCTCACAAGAGAAATAGTTTATTCAAATGATTATTTGAACTTTTTTTGTTCAGTTTGAATATTTGATACAATATCCTGTAGACATAAAAATAGAAGAGTGCTGGCTAGTTAGCTCAGTTGATTATTGTGTGGTATTGTAACACCAAGGTCAAGGATTCAGATTCACATACTGGCCAGCTGCCAAAATAAAATAAAGGTGAGATTTTTTGTTTATTAAAATAAAAATAAATGGGGTTCTCTTTCTCTCATTTCTTCTGCTTTAAGAATACTTCCTTAGATTGATCATTACATGTTTTTGACATTTTAAGAACTTTTTCAAGAAGGAAAGTGAGTCTAAGGAGAAAAAGTGAATTATATCCTTTAGCAGAGTACTATTTTACTTTTTACCTCAAAAAATGATTGCCTGTGCCAACCATATTCACGATCTCAGGTACGCAGGATGTGTTGATGTTCATGAATAATTATCTGTTTTGGGACTTCTATACCGTACACTCTGCCTAGCTCAGTGACCCTTGTGGAGGCTCTGCAGATATGTGCTGTGCTTTGCCTGCCCTTCCTTTGCTCATCTGCCCGGAACGTTTTCTTTTCTCCATGTCCATCTCCATCATCCCAGGCCCATCTCTTCCAGAGCTCTTTTGACTCAAAACAGATGTAAGTGCTTCTTCCTTTGAATCACACAAGGCACCTTGCTTGTTACTATTTCTTCTGACTCTTTCCTCATTGGGCCTGTATTACTGAGGTTTGGGTATTTCTGTGTCTTCACTCCACTCCTTTCCTCTTCCAGGGGGAAAAATGTATCTTATCTTTGTATCCCCAGTGTCTAGCACAGCCCCTAGTACATAATACATACCGAACTGAAATGACTAGACATGGGTCAGGGACCTGCCTGAATGGCGAAAGAAAAAGACTTTGACTTAGTGAAGACTTCTATGCACTTTTATTTTTGCATCTAAGAGACAATGTGTTCGTAGGGAATGATTGTCTTTATTGTGCCCTAAATGTGCACATTCTTAAGTATCCCTTTTCCAAAAGCAAAACATTTATCACTCAGTAGTGATATTAGTAACTATCCTTCATTGAGGGCTTCCCACTCTCCACTGCTACAGTATCCTGAGGATTTTGATCTGTTTAGAAGCGAGGCTTAAAAAAATGGCAACATAGATTTTTAATGTATCACTATCTTGTTACTTCTCATTCCAGCAACCAGCACCAGGTATCTAGCTCTCAATTACTAAAGAGTCTGTAACAAGGTATAAATGCTCATTTAGAAAAAAAAATGTATATTTTCCGCTTCTTTAAAAATTTTTTTTTCTGTTTCCTTATTAAAATTTCCATTTGTTTTTTATAAATATCTTTCCAGAGTTTGCTGTAGCTGCCCCTGTGCTGGTGCTGGAGATATATACTGCTCCTCCCTCATGAGCTCATGGTTTCATGAGAGTCAGTCAAGTAAATAGAGGGATTGTGCTTAGAATGGGGCAAGAACCTGTGATTGGGGAAGCCAGAGGCAGGGCCCTTAACTGGCCTTGAGTACCAAGAAATGTTTCTCAGAGACTATCAGGAGACTATGAGGATGAGCAAGAATTAGATAGCCAGATAGGAGTGGTGGAAGAAGGCCAGGGTGGGAGAACAGTAAGTTGAGCACAAAAAACCAGTGCCAGAGAAAGTTGGCACATTTGAAGACATGAAGTTATTTCAGAATGGTTGGAGTGTTCCAGCAATAGATGAAGCTTTTCTTTTTATTTTTTAATTTTTTTAGGAATACAGTGCTAAGATACTAGTGGTTTAGCCATATGGCAAAATAGGTCTTGCCTGTTGCTGTTGGTATCAAGCAGACATGGGTTAGCTATGGCTCTTAGGGGCTGAACTTAAGGGCCTGGCCTTGGCTTCCCAACATGCATATTTCTTTTTTTTTTTTTTTCTTTGTCTTTTTTTGTGTCCGGCAACAGATCGCAACCCTCAGTGTCACGCCCGTACCGGACCGGGACTGGCAACGGGATCGCAACCCTCGGTGTTGCTCCCACACCTCGCTTAGCCAGTGAGCGGGAACCGGTCTGTATGTGGGATCCGAACCCTCGGCGGGAGCGCTGCCGCACTTCCCAAGCGGCGCACTATAGCAGTGCGCCACCGGGCCAGGCCGGCCCCCAACATGCAAATTTCTTAAGCACAGGGACAGTGTCTGATTCACTCTCTGCTCTGACCCCAGCCCTGTCATGGTGCCAGGCAGCAGTCAGAGCTCAGTAAATAACCTTTGCATGAATAGGATGGCCACCTAGGTCCATCAGGATGATGAATATTACCCTTTGGTGCACTGTGGACAGTTTGGGGCTCCCAAGACTGGGGTGTTTTGAGCAATGAAGTGGTTAACTTAGCTGCAAGCCTCATATGACAGATTTGCTAGGGAGATCCTCCTCACAGAGCAGTGACGCCCTTGATATTGTCAGCTAATTAATTCCTTAAGTACTCCAAATTAGGAAAGGCCTGCTGATTTGATTTTATCTGTCTTGTAAGACTGATCTTTGATCATGTCCCATTCCAGGTGGACTTCCTCTCCTCTTCTTCCCTCCTCCATTGCTAATAGTGCAGGATCTAATTACCTCATCACCCCTTAATTTATTTATGAAAAGGCTGAGGTTAAAGAAAGAACAGAAACTCCTGGGCTCTTTGGGGACCTTCTGGAAAAGCTTTCATTTCTCTTTCCCCTCCCTTATGCCCGATAAAACCTCTCTTTTCTGTCTCTGGGAAGTTGGAATAGTTCTTATTTACAAATTTAAATAAATAAACTTTACTTCCAGGGCTGGGTGGAGGCCAGCCATATGGGTTAAGCTTGGCCTGTCGGCTCCGGATGGATTAATCAATCTATCAGCAAGAACTCATTGATCCCAAAGGAAGCAGCTTTCAAAACGAGTACACAGCTCCTGGGTGTCCTGGCTTCCTCTTCATAGGACACTGGGGGAAGAGGAGTCTTTTGAAATTTTATTATTACACAAGTATTACATGGATACATTCATCTTGTAAAAAATGGAAACAATACAGAAATATGTAGAACAAAATGTGAAAGGCTTCCTCCCTTTTCCTCACATCCCGTCCTACTGTTAAGAGCTTGGGATGTATCCTTTTATTTAGACCTTTAAACAATACACTTTCATACATGTAAGCCTATATAAATGCACATCTGATTTTTAAATTAACATAAACGGTATCACTACGTAGATGCAGCTCTGCGTTTTTCCATTTAACGTGGCCTGGACATCCAGTCAGACCACAGATCTACATTTTAATGGCTGTAATGGTATTTCACAAGCTAGAGGTACTATTATTTATTCATCCATTTCCCTATTGACGGGCATAAACAGTTTCCAATTTTTTAGTATTACAAGCTATTTTGCAAGAAACGGTTCTCTGGAAATTGTCTAATCGTGCATTTATTGTGGGCTCACCATGTGCCACACATTCTACTCCGGGTTGGCGGTAAACAAAACAGACACCTAAACATAGTTTTATTTGAGTGACGGAAAGGGGGCATATTCTTTCTCCAAGAGGGCAAGGCAGGCTGAAGATCGGTCTCTTCGCCAACTCAGAAAGCCGTCGGGGTGTCTCCCCAGCTGTAAAAAGGGGGCCAAGGACCCGTAGGTGCTGGCGAGGAAAAGGGGTTGGGGACGTGAGTGTACTTTCTATCCACGCCCAGAGTCCCCGGGCTGCAGCACCCAGACGCTCATCACACGCCGTGCGCGGGAGCCGGAGCCGGACGCGGGGCGCAGGTCCGGAGGGGCGGGGCCGAGCTGCGCGCGACCCTCGGCGCGCTCGGGGCAGCCCGTACGGGGGCGGACTCTCTGGCCCCGGCTCCCGCGGGCTCTATGACACCGCACTGGCTCGCAGAACGGGCGGGGTGGACTGTGGGGGAGGAGACCTTTCCACTCTGTACGACTGGCGGTGAGCCTCACGCAAAATCCTCTCGCGAGAATTCGGAATTAACGCACCTGCGCAGTGCAGTAGCGCCTAGTGGTGGCGGGGCCGCGGTCGGGTGTGTGAGGGGAGGCAGTCTGTGAAGGCCACTGCGCCCCCCAGGGACTCGACGCCATGAGCAGCACCTTAGCAAAGATCGCAGAGATCGAAGCCGAGGTAATGGGCACAGCTGGCGCTTCACTCCCAGTCTGAGCATCCTTTTTTGCGCGGCGTCGCTCCTGCCCGTTCTCCCTTCAGCCGCGTCAGGACCGGGCCCTGATCCCCCGATTCCTCTCAGCCAGGCCCGTGTTCCCGATTACCCCCCTCCTGGGCTCGCGTTCCCAGCCTCCCCTCATTCCGGGCCGGCGTTTCCCGACTCTCCACAGCCCGTGCCGCGTTCGACTCCAGTCCTGACATTCTCTCAGTTTTTCTTCCTTTTCTCTGAGCAACACAGAATCCTTTCCGTTTCTCCATCCCTGACCTGGTCACATACTTCAGGATCCTTTCTTATCATCCCTCACTCCGCTACCCCCTTCTTCCCCCCGTCCCCCAGTCTCTATTGACCCCCTTTTCCAGGATATTGCTCCTGGCAATAGGATCTGGAAGTAAATTGATATTTGTGTGGTGGCGGTTGATTCCACTTGGATATTGTGTGATTCTATTGCCTGAGACACTCAGAGCTTTTTAAATTTAGGAGAGTATCAGATGGGTACCAGGTACAAGCAGTAGAAAAGGAATCAGCGAATGGTTTTTAGTCTAGCGTGTGGACACTAATTGGAATGACCTTGATCTTGTCTCTTCTCTTTGGGCCTACGTTGGGTTAAAGGGCCTTTGTTGTTTGCTGTGTAGTGAGGGGAATGAACTGGATGGAGAGAATGGAGTTTTACTCTTTTAAAGTCTAATTACCGGCCAGGCACCGCCCCCCACCCCCCTCAAAAAGTCTAACTAAAATGGGTAAACTGACATTAGTAGGGCCTAGAGAAAAAAAAAAATCCTCATTCTCAGAGCTGGGGAAGCATTCATTCTGGATATTTTACCCTGTAGAAAATGCTTCTGATTTATGGCTGTGATTCTTTCTTTATAGATGGCTCGGACTCAAAAGAACAAGGCCACAGCACACCACCTAGGACTGCTTAAGGCTCGCCTTGCTAAGCTTCGTCGAGAACTCATTACTCCAAAAGGTGGTGGTGGTGGTGGGCCAGGAGAAGGTTTGTGTTTTTCCTCTCTCTTTCTATTTTTTTTGGTATAATTCTGTCAAAATAATACATGCATGTGGCTTAAAAATAATTAAAATTTTTCTATCAAAATAGATTTGTATTCTCTAAGCCTGAATTCTTGAATTGTGTTTATTTCATTTTATTCTGCTGGTTTCAGAGGCAAATGAATACTGTCTAAGTGAACCACCATTTTATTTATTTATACCCTGCACTGATCCAAAATAGATTTACATTGGATTTACATAAATGTGTAGATTTGTACTGTCAACAAAATTAAAAATAAGTAAGGAAATTGTTGCAAAGGGAAAATGAAAGTAGGAATAATAAGTTGATGCAAAGAGAAATAAGGTTAGGACCCAAAGAAATGTCAGGAGGTCTGTAGACTAACTAGAGAAGGACCACAAATTTGACTGTGAACTTGTTTGCAGCCATTGTAAAAAAAGAAAACCCAGTCAATCACACAATTCCCAGGGTTTGTAAGACAAACCTCTTTTTTTTAGATCAATTATTACATAATATTTGGGCCTTAAATATTATAGGTACTAGAAAGGTATATAGCAGTTTAAGTGGTAGAGGAATACAGTTTTCATATCAACACTACATTGACTGTTGTGAATTGCTGCAGGGGGAATTTTCTGTGCTTGAGTTCTACCCCTAAGGTAAACCATAAAAAGTTTGAGAAATAGGGCCAAGAGGGATAGGCAGTGAAAATGTGAAAGGATGGGGCCAGCCCGGTGGCGCACTGCTACAGTGCGCCGCTTGGGAGCGCGGTGGCGCTCCCGCCGAGGGTTCGGATCCCACATACAGACCAGTTCCTGCTCACTGGCTGAGCGAGGGGCGGGCGTGACGCCGAGGGTTGCGATCCCGTTGCTGGTCCTGGTCCGGTACGGGCGTGACACTGAGGGTTGCGATCCGTTGCCGGTCACGAAAAAAGACAAAAAGGACCGAGGGTTGCGATCCCGTTGCTGGTCCTGGTCCGGTACGGGCGTGACACTGAGGGTTGCGATCCGTTGCCGGACACGAAAAAAGACAAAAAAAAAAAAAGAAAATGTGAAAGGAATTACATAGTCTTAACACTCCTGGGATAACTCTCCTTTTTTTTGATATTTATTGATGTTTTAGGTTTTGATGTGGCCAAGACAGGTGATGCTCGAATTGGGTTTGTGGGTTTTCCCTCTGTGGGGAAGTCAACACTGCTCAGTAACCTGGCAGGAGTATATTCCGAGGTGGCAGCCTATGAGTTCACTACCCTGACCACTGTGCCTGGTGTCATCAGATACAAAGGTGCCAAGATCCAGGTGAGTGAGGCCTACAGGCCAACGAAGGGAAGAAATCCATTCTTTTATTCATTTAAGAAGCACTTTATTGGGAGCTCACTGTATGCCAGACCTGGTCTTACATCTAGCAGGGGAGATAGAGCAGTACATAAATACAGGAATACCATGGGATAGTGCCTGTGAAAATGCAGAGAAATACATTATCATCTGAGGACAGGGGAGAAAGTCTGGTGAGACAAAGAAGGCTTCATGTGGAAAGTGATACTGCAGGTGGGTCTTGAAGTTAGAATAGAATTTCGCCATGCAGAGAAGGAAGAGAAGAGGGTGTTTCAGGAAGCGGTAATGGTGAACAGTCTGCTGTGGTGTGAGATTGGGTGTGGGGCAGGAGTGGTGGAAACTGAACCTGGGAAGGTAGGTTGGGGCTGAGTTATGAAGGACTTAGTGTACCTGGTAAGGAAGTTGAATTTTATCTTGTATGAGGGTCTTTCAAAAAGTTCGAGGAAAAATAGAATTGAAAGATAATACAAATCTTTCCATGAACTTTTTTGTTTGTTTGTTTGGCAGCTGGCCGGTAAGGGGACCAAACCCTTAACATTGGTGTTATTAGTACCGTGCTCTAACCAAGTCAGCTAACCGGCCTAGCCCTCCATGAACTTTTTGAAATACCCTCATATGTAGCTAGGAACCATCAGAAACTTTTCAATAAATAAATAACATGTTCAGGCCCTTTTTAGAAGGTAATTCTTGTCTGTGAGGCATAATGAAGTTGGTCTCCTGAGACGTTCTTCTTAGATAGATTATAGATTTAGGGCTTCTAAGTGATGGGTCCCCATGGGTTTGAAAGAAGGTGTATGTCAAATATAATGAAACATATTCTTGTTGGCTGCACAGCTGAGAGTGAAAGGTTCTGAATTTCATTTTGAATCTGTGTTAGAGGTTCCCAAACTCTCTTGGTTCACAGTACCCTTAGTGTCTCAGCAATTATTTCATGACACCCTTTTTTATCTCAGTAATTTTTTATGGTGCTCCTAGGCCAAAACCTCCCCCTCCTCCAAAAAACCCTCCAAAGGTTCTGTTTGCTAAATAGTTATGTCCAAACAACTTAATAAGATATGTGTCCTTATAGTCGCAGCTATTTACTGATAGGATATGTGCACCTATTGAGTACGACATAACTCCTCAAACCTTGGAATCAGATTGGATACTGCCACATTTATTTCATTTTCCACATTGATTTTTGTGTGGTACTTAAGTTTTATCACAGCAACTACTGAAAAAATCAATTTCCCCCAAATTTGGATCTGATGTAATTGAAAGCAGTGTAGTGGGATCTCATGTTGAAATTGTGAACTACTGGGGCTAGTAGTTCTCTTTGTGCCTGCCAAATCAAGAATTGCTATGTTTCTCTTGAAAATTTAGAATATCCAGTGGCACCTGTAAGTTCACTGGTGCCCCAGAGTAACTTGACACATAATTTGGGAACCATTGGTGTAGGCATTTCTTTTTCTCCTTGCTGAGCTACATACACAGTGAGTTGTATTCATGCTTCTTTTATTATATAATCAGAAGTAGGAAGGGACCTGTGTCCTGGTGGCATTTTCAATGACCTTTTTTCCTGCAGGTTAGGTGCCCATGCAGAGACTGTATTGGGACATGTCCCATGTCAGATGTATATAACAGTAATAAGAAAGTGTATACATATTTGGGTGATGGCTTGATTCTAGCTGGTTTCAGAGTCTTGTTTGTTTTTTCCTTAAAAAATTTTTTTTCTTTTATTCTTTTTTTTTTTTTTGTCTGCTGGCTGGGGCGGGGAACCGAACCCAGGGGCCTTGGGGTTTTGAGGGTGGGGTAATTTTTTTTCCTTTTTTTTTTTTTTTTTTTTTTTTTGTCTGCTGGCTGGTGCTGGGAACCGAACGCAGTGACCTTGGTGTTATGAGGCTGTGCTAATTTTTTTTCCTTTTTTTTTTTTAATTAAAAATTTTTTTTTCCTTTTTCTATTTTTTTCTTTTTTGTTGTTATTTATTTATGCATTAGATTTTAGAGTCTTGTTGACAGCTTTGACAACTCAGAGAATAGCTTCTGTCCTGATGGGTTGCTGTTGACACCTCTTTCAGGGCTTCTGAGTATCAGAATAAAGAGTTGCTAACCTCCTCTCCTTTTTCTTTCCCATACAACTTTCATTCATTCAGTCTCTTCGGACCGTTTAGGGGTTTTCCACCCTTTTTTGTGTGTGGTGCTCTCTGCCTCTATTTTTCCTCCCCTTCTGTCTTTCTCCAGAAATCAAGTTATGTAAGCATACTAGTAGTTGTGCCTTACTGAATTAAGATGACTGCCCTGAAATGTTTTTTAAAAGGCTGTTTTGTGGCAGAGGACTCATTACCTGTGACCTGGTGGGGGCAGTATACAGAATTAGAACCACTTAAGAATTATAAGGCTGCCTGCTAAGTTCAATTGGTTAGAGCATGATGTTATAACACCAATATAGGGCCGAGCCCGTGGCGCACTCGGGAGAGTGCAGTGCTGGGAGCTCAGCAGCGCTCCCGCAGCGGGTTTGGATCCTATATAGGACTGGCCAGTGTGCTCACTGGCTGAGCGCGGTGTGGCCGGTCTCAAAAAGGACAAAAACAAAAAAACAAAAAACCACCAATGTCAAGGTTTCGGATCCCTGTATTGGTCATCTGCAAACAAACAAACAAACAAGAATTATAAGGAGGGGGATTTTTTTGTTTTTGTTTTTTGTAAGGACGGTTTTTAACAGTAGAGATGCCTAAAAATGGAATAATATCTCTTGAGGTAATGAGTTACTGTGTCTGAAGGTGTTCAAGTAGTGGCTGAATCACTGCTTACCAGGAATGTTATAAAGATGTATCACACAAGCAGATATTGGCCTGCAGAGTTGGTATACGGTGCTTTGAAAATTATAGGGCTTATGTTTCACCTTGCTAGGGTCCCTCGAACTTCTATTCTCCTATATACACAGTTGACTTTCACATTGAAGTTACCTGCTTTAACCTCTAAAAGTATTCGAGTTTGAAGTAGTTTAACATCCAGTTCTTAAAATCCTACAATTCCATGATTTAAAGAAATATTTTTTTTTCTTATCTCTTAGTTGGTTGCAATTCAGATACATAAGACGTTGGTTATTTTTATTGAATGAAAGTTAGTTGCTACATTTAAATAGTTCAATGTAATTTTTAAAATATTTCCCTCTCAAGAAAAGCTAAAGTTGCTTTTACTTTTGTAGGAATCTTAATAAATTTCCCCATTGTGTTCAGCTGCCATAGTTAGAAAGCCCTTGCTCTTTCTCCCTTACTATATTATTCTCTCTTTCACATGATCTTTTATTTGATGTTATTGTCATATTTCAGTTTTTAACAGTTTTAGATTATCTAGATGGATTTTCCTTTCAAGTTCTTATAGCATCAGTTAAGCTCAATATGCAGTAAATGCTTTAGCTGATGGTGTGTGTGTGTGTGTGTGTGTGTATATATATATATATATATATTTTTTTTTTTTTTAATAGAAAGGGATTTACTAAGTGGTAGAAGTAGATTACAGAATCATCGGGAGGGTTGAGGAAAGACTGTAGACTTAATTTCTAGGAACCGATGAACTTTTTGTTTGTTTTCTTTATTGAGGTATAATTCACATATAATAAGATGCACATATTTGAAGTGTTTAATTTGATATGTTTTGATATATGTATACACTGGTGAAACCATCACCATAATCAAGATTGTGAACATATATATCACCACCAAAAGTTTCCTCGTGCCCCTTCTCTCCTGTTGTTCCTTGCCCCCTCCATCCTCAAGCAATTACTTATATGCTTTTTGTTACTATAGATTAGTTGACATGTTAAGAGTTTTATATAAGTAAAACTATATGTAAATATAAATGTATTTTCTTTTTGGATGGCTTCTAATCATTCAGCATAATTATTATTATTTTTTTGTTTTGTTTTTTTTTTTGTTTGTTTGTCCTTTTTGAGACCAGCCGCACCACGCTCAGCCAGTGAGCGCTGCGAGCGCACTGGTCATCCCTATATAGGATCCGAACCCACAGTGCCGCACTCTCCCAAGTGCACCACGGGTTCAGCCCAGCAGCATAATTATTTTGACATTCGTGATGATGAACTTTTAAAGCCATAGAGGTTTTTTTCTCCCATTTTTGTATTGATTTTTTATTTTATTTTATTTTATTTATTTATTTTTGTCTTTTTTTGTCTTTTTTTCGTGACCGGCAACGGATCGCAACCCTCAGTGTCGCGCCCGGACCGGGACCGGCAACGGGATCGCAACCCTCGGCGCTGCCCCCGCTCCTCGCTCAGCCAGTGAGCGGCCGGTCTGCATGTGGGATCCGAACCCTCGGCGGGAGCGCCGCCGCACTTCCCAAGCGGCGCACTGTAGCAGTGCACCACCGGGCCGGCCCGATTTTTTATTTTAAACTAATGTTGTGTTTTTAGGGGGTTTTTTTGCAGCTGGCCGGTGTGGGGATCTGAACCCTTGACCTTGGTATTGTAACACTGCACTTTAACCAAATGAACTAACCGGCCAGCCTATTTTGAACTAATTTTACACTTACAGAAAAATTGCAAAAATAGTGCAAAGAGTTCTCATATCACTCACCTGCTTCTCCTAATGTTTACATCTTACATAACCATGGAATAATTATCAGGGATAGATTAACATTGATGCAGTAATATTCACTAAACTATAGACCTTACTTGAATTTTTATAAATTTTTCCACCAATGTCCTTTTCCTATTCCAGGATTCTAGGTAGGATTATCCCATGTTTCATTTTGTTATTTCTCCTTGTTTTCTTGCCATCTGTAATAGTTCTTTAGTCTCGGCTTTCATGACCTTGATACTCTTGAAGAGTATTGATCAGTTATTTTGTAGAATGAGAACCCCTCAATCTGGGTTTGTCTGTTGTTTTCTCATGATTAAACTGAGCAAGTATTTTTGACAAGAGTACCACAGAAATGATGTGTCTTTTGCAATGCAGCACATCATGGGGATCATGATGTTGATATATTTTATTGGTGATGCTGACCTCCGTCATTTGGATAAGATAGTGTCTGCAGGTTTCTCGACTGTAATCTTTTTTTTTTTTTTTTGTAGTTAATAAAAATTTTGGAGGAAGTACTTTGAGAAGATATGAATCCTGTTTCTCCTCAAACTTTTGCCTACTCATTTTAGTATCCATCTGTGGGTATTGTCTGTAACAATTATTACTGTACTTAATGGTGATTTTCTTTTTTTTTTATTACATTTATTAATTGGAAATCTTCTGTATGGAAGAGCTGTCCCTTCTTCCCTGTTTATTTAGTAATTTCTATCAGTGTGGACTCATGGATATTTTATTCTATGGGTTATAATTCATGATCATTTTATTACTCAAATTTTTCCAGCTTTGACCGTTAGGAACTCCTTTTGGTTGATTCCTGTGTTCTTTTCATAAGCCCTTGTCTTTTTATGAGTACATCCTGATTTTCTGGAACCATAGACGTTCCAGGCTATTCTTATATTTTCCCTCCCCAGCCCTGGGGTCAACCACTTCTGAAGAAGCCCTAGTTCCTTTTATTGGAGAACGGTGTTTAGAAATCAAGATCTTGGGCCGAGCCCGTGGCGCACTCGGGAGAGTGCGGCGCTGGGAGTGCAGCAGCGCTCCCGCCGCGGGTTCGGATCCTATATAGGGATGACCGGTGCGCTCACAGCACTCACTGGCTGAGCGCGGTGCAGCCGGTCTCAAAAAAAGACAAAAATAAATAAATAAATAAAAAATAAAAAAGAACATATAAATGATACTCTTTAAGAGTTAATGATAATCAAAAGCACAGTATCTTCTTTGCAAGAAGCAAAGTAACGCATCCTTTGTCCACAGGAAGTTGAGTCAGGTTAGATATCTATAAAAATCAAGAAATCAAGATCTTGGTGTTGGGTGTGCTCATTACTCCCCATGTAGCCTTTTAGACCATTATAACTAAAGTTTCTAAGTCAAGGCAGGTGTATTCAACATAAATTATCTTTTTATTTCTCTTTTGAAAGGATAGCTCAGTTTGATTGGTGCTTTGTGTCAATATTGGAGGAGATAATGCTATTTTTTATACAGTGATAATAAGGAATAGCTTTTGAGTAGGTACTTCAGTGGAGAAATTGAACTGTTTAGCACCTCTTGAATCAGTTCTTTTTCACTGTGGTTTATATTTAATGTGAAGTATATTTCTATGATATCAGATATGCTTAGAGCAAGGTATATCTGATTTAAATTGATGTTTTGATAAGTTGCAATTCTGTTCCCTGTCCATTTGTGCATATAATTCAGTACTGGCCATACAGGAGACCCTTGTATTTTTAGATTTTTCATTTGCTGCCTTGTTTTTTACTGATTCTTAAGGGCTCTAACTAATAGTTTGTAATTTTGCTGAGGTGTGAATTTGAATCACGTATGCTATGGGGCTGGTTTTGATGTTCTCATCATTAGCTACACTAACTCCTGTTAAGTTTACTGCCTCTCCTGGGAATTTAGCAGTCATTTTCAACTGGGGACGCACATCAGAGTCACCTGTGGAGCCTGTTTAAAGTACAGATCAATATCTGCACCCTTGTAAATTAAAATCTGCTCGGAGGGTCTCAGCTATCTGCGTTTTTGATCAGCACGTGAGTTTTGACCTGCTCCGTTTCCGACCTGGGCCGGTTCAACCCTCCTTAGACAACCTGGTGATCCCCGCCACCCCCCACCCACACTCCCGGGAGGTCACTATATTGATGCTGAACTTAGAGCAGACACCAATCGGCATAGCGCCCTACAGCCCAGAACTGAGCTCAAGCGATCCTCCAGCCTCAGCCTCCTGAGTACCTGGGACTACAGGCGCGGGCCACTGGGCCCAGCAGCTATCTGCACTGTTAAAGGTTTTCCAGGTGATTCTGATGTGCTCATCTGGTTAAGAATGCCTGCAGAAATTTTTTTGAGTTGGGGATTTGCCAAGTCTCAGCATGTATCAAATGTAGATGTCAAAATCCAGCTATTACTTGCAGTAAGGGAAGGCTTGTGGAGGCTCAACCTTCTGAAAAGTGGGGTAACATTGAAAGATATTAATGTAGAATAATGGATTTTGGCTAAAAATCACAGGTTATAATGTTTTTTTTTAGATAGTGACTTTGGGCAAGTCACTTAACCACTATGAACTTCAGCTAATATCCTTATCTCACAGATTTGTTAGGAATTTTAAAGTAGGTAGAGTACATAAAAAGCCTGTAGCTGACATTTAGTAGATATTTAGTAAAAGTAATATTCACACACTCACTTATAAGGAAGATTGGATTTGGGTCTCATAAATTTTGGATACTTGAGGAGAATTAAATTACTCTGTTTGATCTGTTCAGATTTATAACCACTTTTTCCTTTTTTCTCATTTCCCTGTTCTTGATCTTGCAGCTCCTGGATCTCCCAGGTATCATTGAAGGTGCCAAGGATGGGAAAGGTCGAGGCCGTCAAGTCATTGCAGGTGAGTGGTCCAGTAAGGGTATCGTCCTCTTACTTGGTACTATTCCTTTAGCCAGGGACTGTTGGGCTTGGAGGTTATACCAGAGCAAAGGGTATGGTTTCACCTGACTTCTCACCAGAGTCCAATGTCAAAACTTGAAGGAACCTGATACAGTAGTAGTCCAGACCTCCATTTAAGGAGAAACACTAAGGACAGAACTGAAATGGGTTTAGTGTCACTCTGTTGGTGGCAGATTCAGAACTAGAATTCAGGTTTCCTGATTCCTTAACCTGTGCCTTCTTTTTTACTTTTTTAAAAGTAAAATGTTATAAATGGCTAATTATAAATTGCAACAATCTGTTTCCTCACCTCTCCTTACCTCCTCTGTCTCTGCCCATTGGCAGCTACTGTCAACTCTACAGCTGTTCCTTCTATTACCTTCATATTTTAAAATATTATGCTTTTATCACTATTTCATGATTAACTAATTTTGGATATCTGTTGGTTTCATGTTATGGTAGAGAATTAGCTCTCTTATACTCAATACTTCTTCCATTCTTTCAAATTTCAATTTTTAGTTAACTCATCAATCATGGTGTACATTATTATGTAATGCCTATGTAACTTAAGTAGTGTACTATGACTTGTTTTTATTTTCTTGAAATCTTTTTTTTTTTTGGCAGCTGTCCAGTACAGGGATCAAACCCTGGACCTTGGTGTTATTAGCACTATGCTCTAACCAACTGAGCTAACCAGCCAGCCCCTGTTGGAATCTTTGATTAATACCTGTTTTTTTTTTTCCTTTTGTTTATTTTTCTGTGTTTGTTAATAATTTTCAAATGTTTCAACAGATCAAATGTCTGTCAACCAATATTTTTCTAGATACTTAAAAATAGTTCTAAATATAATCTTATTGATATTATTCTCTCCCCCCACCTCTGACATTACCCTCCTCTGTCCTTGGTCTTTGTGTTTCAATCTGGATTGGTTGCTTTCTAGATTAGTGCTGTCCAGTAGAACTTTCTACAGTAATGGAAATTTCTTTTTTTTTTTTTTTTTTTTTTTTTCCGTGTCCGGCAACGGATCGCAACCCCCAGTGTCGCCCCCTGCCCTGGAAATTTCTGAATCTGTGCTGTCTAATATGGTAGCCCTTAGCATGAGTGGCTATTGAACAGTTGAAATGTGTCTAGTATAATTGAGAGACTGAATTTTAAATTTTATTTAACTGTAGTTAATTTAAATTTAAATAGCCACACATGGCTAGTGGAATCTGTATTGGATGGTGCAGCTGTAGACTTTGCATGGCTGTCATGCTGAGATTTTCTTTTGTTCTTTTCTTGTGTGGGATCCTCTATTTCTTAAAGACAGTGTCTGACTTTTTTGGGGTTATTTTCATATTTTGCTGAAGCACATTTCTTTAGTTTCTTCCATATAGAAGGTGAGTGATATAGGTAAATTTTTCTGTCTTTTCATGTTTGAAAGTATTTGTATTCTACTCATACTGAATTATTAATTTCGCTATTTATAGAGTTATAGGTTACAAGTCATTTTCCCTCAGAATTTTGAAGGACACTATCTTCTAGCATCTACTATTAGTGTTGAATTCAGTGGTGTTATGATTTTTTTGTAAATAACCTATTTTTCCCTCACTGGAAGCACTTAGAAACTACTTCAACAAGCTGTGTCTTATTTTGGGTTTTTTTTCTTTGTTTCTTTTTTTTAAATTCATTTTGCTGGATATTTGGTGGACCCTTTCAATATAATGACTCTTGTCTTTCATTTATGTAAAATTTTCCTGTTTTCTTTGGTAATTTACTCTTTTCTGAGTTCCTTTATAGAATGTCTATTAACAGAACGATGGACTTCTGGATTTGGTTATACTTTTCTTATTTATTTATTTATTTTCCTTTTTGTCTTTTTTACTGACCGGCAACAGGATCGCAACCCTCGGTGTCGCGCCCGCACCGCGCTCAACCAGTGAGCGGGAACTGGTCTCCACATGGGATCCGAACCCTCGGCGGGAGCGCCACTGCACTCTCAAGCGGCGTACTCTCCAGTGCGCCACCGGGCCGGCCCCTTTTCTTATTTTTTTAAATAATTTGGTTTTTTGTCTCAATTTTTTCTTTGTGGGACTTTTTCAGATTTATCTTCCATCTTGCTATTGAGTTTATTTCTGTTATGGTATTAGTTTTACTAAGACTTTGCTTCTGTCTTCTTATTGTTTCTTTTTGAGCCTCTTGTTCTTGTTTTATGGATGCATTTTCTTAGACTCTTATTTGCTCTTATCTAAATGTCTGGATCTCTATTCTAATGATTGTGAAATGTGTAGTATCACTTTGCCCTCTTGTGAACTTTAGACCAATTGCCCAGCATATTTCCACTTGGATGTCCAATTAGGTGTCTCAAACTTTTTTTTTTTTTTTTTTGCACCTGGCTGGTGCAGGGATCCAGACTCTTGAGAGGTGTCTCAAACTTAACATCTGCAAAGTTGAATCTTGATCTGTCATCCCCAACTTGTTCTTCCCTTAGTTTTTTCCATCTCAGTTAAAGGCAATATATCCTTCAAGTCTTTTAGGTCAAGTCTTTTTTTCCTCTTATCCTCTATATCCAGTACATTATTATATCCTGTTGGTTTTACCTTTGAAATATATCTAGAATCAAGCCACTCTTTTTTTCTTTTTTTGTCCTTAAATACAGAACGTTGCATTAATCATACTCCCCAGTTCATGGAACATTTTCATTATAGGTCTGTGTAAGGGCCTCTGATTTTGTTTATTTGTGTATTTTATTTTACTTCTATACCTCACTTTCTTTCCCTCTACCTCAGGCAATCATTCCTCAGGCAATCTTTCATGAGAACTTGAAAGTGGATGGGATGCTTTGTCCCTAAGCAGGGTTTTTGACTAATGTGTTTTATTATAGATTGACGCAGTGAACCAGCTTATTTGGAGGAAGAACCCTGTCCATGACAATAGGTATTTCTCCTGTGGATAGTCAGTGACTCCAAAGAAAAATGCTTTGCTTAAGTCTTCTGCTTGGAGGTGTGCTGGGAGAAGGGAAAGGGAAGGTGTCTAGAGACTCTTACTGTATAGAGTGCAGACTTTAAGCCTCCTCCTTTTAAGTCTATTGTTCCACTGTTGTGTACCTCTTGGCCTGAATTCTAGTGGCCTTTCTTTCTTAAATTGTGGATCTCTTGAAGAAGAGATTCATTTGCCCATCAGAGCCACATCTTTTTTTTTTTTTTGTCTTTTTTCGTGTCCGGCAACGGATCGCAACCCTCAGTGTCGCGCCCATACCGGACCGGGACCGGCAACGGGATCGCAACCCTCGGTGTTGCTCCCACACCTCGCTCAGCCAGTGAGCGGGAACCGGTCTGTATGTGGGATCCGAACCCTCGGCGGGAGCGCCTCCACACTCACAAGCGGCGCACTGTAGCAGTGCGCCACCGGGCCGGCCCCAGAGCCACATCTTCATTTATATCTTTATTTCATTAATCTATTTCAGCTTTAGTATTCTACCTATCAGTGTCTGTTTATGGTATCCTGTTTGTTTTCTTGTTACCATCAAGACATAGGTCAGAATAGGGCAAATATTTAGTCAGCATTTTTGAATCATTGGTTTTCTTAAAAAAAAAAAAAAAAAAAAAGAATCCAGATAAATTAAATATATTGAAAGAAAAAAAAAGGTGTATTTCTAAATTGGACACAGGTTTCTCCTAAAGGGCTGCTCATACTTCTGTTGCCTTTAGTTTTCTCTAAGCATGAAAGTGAATAATACAACACAGAGAACACTAGAAAAGAATATTTTCAACTCTGCTTTGGGCCACTGGGAGAAGCCTTGTGCTCTCTGAACTTTGAAATACTGATTTATGCCTGTTTTCTCAGGGTAATGCTAATAGTGCCCTTTTTTCATTCTTAGAAGTCTCTTTGCTTGGTTTATAAATTAGTCATCCTAATTGTTACTTTTTTAATTGAATTTTTACAGTAAGCATGGTTTATTTTTTTTAATCTGAAAAAAAAATTGATGTTAAAACAACTACAAAAACTCCCAAGGGTCTTTGATTGACTATTGTTCTGTAGAGTCTGATTAAATGCAAAGATTTCTTAGATGGGACATTAAAATCGTGAATCACAAAAGAAACAATTGATAAATTACATATTGTCAGAATTAAAAACTTGTTCTTTGAAAGACACAGTTAAAATGAAGAAGCAAGCCACACACTAAGAGAAAATTTTAGCAATATGTGTATCTGTCAAAGGACTTGTTTTCAGAATATATAAAGAACTCTTTTTTTTTTTTTTTTTAAAGATGACCGGTAAGGGGATCTCAACCCTTGGCTTGGTGTTGTCAGCACCACGCTCAGCCAGTGAGCAAACCGGCCATCCCTATATAGGATCCGAACCCGTGGCCTTGGTGTTATCAGCACCGCACTCTACTGAGTGAGCCACAGGCCGGCCCATAAAGAACTCTTATAGTTCAATAATAAGACAAACAACCCAATTAAAAATGTGCAAAAGGGCCGGCCCGGTGGCGCACTGCTACAGTGCGCCGCTTGGGAGTGCGACGGCGCTCCCGCCTAGGGTTCGGATCCCACATACAGACCAGTTCCCGCTCACTGGCTGAGCGTAATAACTTCGTATAGCATACATTATACGAAGTTATCGGGGTTGCGATCTGTTGCCGGACACGAAAAAAGACAAAAAGGAAAAAAAAAAAATGGGCAAAAGAGTGAACTTGGAAGATATCCAAATGGCCAATATATACATGAAAAATGGCTCAACGTCATTAGTCGTCAGAGGATTTGTGTTATTTCCTGGTTTGTATCTTCATTCAGATTCATTTTTCTACTAGTGTATCTAGAAGGTATGTCAGTTCTTGGGCTAATATGTAATGACTTCAAGGCATACACTGCACATTGACATCTGATATACATCTTCGGTAACTTTAAGAACTTCATGTGTATGTATTTACAACAAAAATCCTTTATCTCTTATTTTGGTTAGTTAAGGCTATATTGAACTTTCTTTGGGTATAATTTTTTTTTTATTCTTCAGTGGCCCGAACCTGTAACTTGATCCTGATTGTTCTGGATGTCTTGAAACCCTTGGGACATAAGAAGATAATTGAAAATGAGCTGGAAGGCTTTGGCATTCGCTTGAATAGCAAACCTCCCAATATTGGTTTTAAGAAAAAGGACAAGGGAGGCATTAATCTCACAGCCACTGTAAGTGGGGAAGGAGACGGGGCAGGCTGTTAAAGGGACCTTAGTAGAGAGTGGATTGAGGTGCACTGACATTGACATTTGGAAATTTCCTGACTTTACTTGCACTAATTGATACAATACAATGACCTTGCAATGACTGACAAGAAAGACTTCAACTTTAGAACAGGAATCAGTCTCAGACTTAAATCTGCAAATTCGTTTTCTCTTTTGGGTTATCTGTTTGGGGTGGTATGGAAGTATAGACCAAAATACGCTTGCATGAAGTAGATGGCTACCAATATCCTTTGTTTTCATTCATTTAATGTAAATTTATAGAGCACCTACCATGGGCCAAGAATTGTTTTAGGCTCTAGGCAGAGGGAGTAGGGAGAATGGAAGAGGGAATAAAATTTACAAAACCCCCTGCCCTTATATTCTAATTGGGTAAAGTAGAAAACAGAATTAATGAGTAAAATGTAGTGTATTAGACAATGATAAATCTAACAGGAGTAAAGTAGGGAAAGGGGACAGAGTGTGTTGGTGTGAGGGTTGCGGGTTTTTTTTTTTTGACTGGTAAAAGGATCGCAACCCTCGGCATGGTGTGGTCCGCACCACGCTCAGCCAGTGAGTGCACCAGCCATCCCTGTATAGGATCCGAACCCGTGGCCTTGGTGCTACCAGCGCCACACTCTCCCGAGTGAGCCATGGGGCTGGCCCTAGGGTTGCAGTTTTAAGTACATTGGTCAGGGAAGTCTTCACTCAGTAGACAGGAAGGAGTGAACCAAATGGATATCTTGAGGAAAAGCATTTCATGTAGAGGGAACATCCAAGTGCAAAGACCCTGAGGTAGAGCATGCCTTTGCATGTTTGAGGAATAGCAGAGTGAAGCAAGTAGAAGAGTAGTAGAGATGAAGTCATAGCATAGGACCATATATGCTTTTACTTTGTAGGAGATGGGAAACTATGGGTTGGGTTCTGATCCACAGAGTAAACATGATTTGACTTAGGTTTTAATGGAATCATTCTGGCTGTTGTGTTAATAGACTAAAATGGGTTAAGAGCAGAGCAGAGCAAAGAAATTATTGAAGAGGTTGTTACAGTAATGCAGTCAAGAATTGATGGCTTCTTAGACCAGGGTTGAAACAGTGGAGGAAATCAGAAGTGGTTGATTGTGGAAAGATTTTGAAAGCAACCAATAGGTGTTATAGCTGGATTGGATATGAGTTGTGAGAGAAGGAGAGTCAGAGATGATTGTTTTTTGTCCTGACCTAGAAAAATGAACTCTCATTACTAAAATGGTAGTACTTTGGGTAGAATAGGTTTGGAGGGGAGGTGAAGATCAGAATGTTAAGTTTTGATAATAATTAGACATCCAGATGTTTTGTCAAGAAGGCATATGAAGGGGCCGGCCCGGTGGCGCACTCGGTAGAGTGCGGCGCTTGGGAGCGCGGCGGCGCTCCTGCCGAGGGTTCAGATCCCATATAGAGACCAGTCCGCTCACTGGTTGAGCGCGGTCGGGCGCGACACCAAGGGTTGCGATCCCGTTGCCGGTCACGAAAAAAAAGACAAAAAAAAAGAAAAAAAAAAAAAAAAAAAAAGAAGGCATATGAGGAGTGATCTAAGCTGGAGATACAAGTTTGGTGGTTATCATCTTTAAAGTCATGAGCCTAGCTGAGATCACTAAGGAAGTGGGTATAAATAGAAAAGAGGTTTGAGGAAATAAGACTTCTTAGACAAAGGAGGAGAAGGAAAACTGGAAGAGTTTAGAATACTGGAAGCCAAGTAATGAAAGTGTTTCAGATAGGAGTGATCAGTTCTGTCAAATGTTGCTTCTCAGTCATAGACTTGAGAACTGAGAGTTTCCTTCTAAATTTAACATTCTGTGGTTCAGGTGATTTTACTGGCTTAGGTTTAAGCTGTCCAGCCTAAAAGATTTTTCCCATTATCTTGTCATAATGTTTGAAGTTGAGCATTCAAGGTTCTTTCTGTGTCAGTGTGCTAGGGCTGCCATAATAAAGTACCACAGGTTGGGTGGCTTAAACAACAGAAATTTATTTTTCATATTTCTGGAGGCCAGAAGTCTGAGATCAAGGTGATGGCAGGGTTAGTTTCTTCTGAGGCCTTTCTCCCTGTGTCTTTACGTGGTCTTTCCTCTGTGTGTCTATGTCCTAATCTCCTTTTCTTATAAGGAAGCCAGTTGTATTGGATTAGGACCCCACCCTAAAGACTTCATTCTAATTCAGTTACCTCTATAAAGATCCTATCTCCAAATAGTCACATTCTGTACTGATGGGGTTAGGATTTCAACATATGAATTATGGGGGGTGGGGGGAGACACATAATTCACACCATAACACCTTCCCTTGAGTTTGGAAAGATTTTTAGTTTTAAATTATTTCTTACTAAAAGTCAGTCTCGTCTGAGTTAATGTCTTCAGTAATGAGTTTGTACCTTAGCTAGAATTATCCAGGTACATGGATAGGTACCCTTGGGGGATTTGTTTGTTGTTGTTGTTGTTTCTCTCTGACTAGTCATTGTCTGCCATGCCCATTCAGTGCCCTCAGAGTGAGCTAGATGCTGAAACTGTGAAGAGCATTCTGGCTGAATACAAAATTCATAATGCCGATGTGACTCTGCGTAGTGATGCCACCGCTGATGACCTCATTGATGTGGTGGAAGGAAACAGGTACTGAGTGTGCAGTCTATGCCTGATTTTGAATTTGAAGCCTTGTGGAAAGAACAACAAATCATGAATCTGGTGAACATCGATTCTAATTCCAGTTGTGCTAATATCTCAAATAATAGTGGGCCTTGGTTTCTTTAGCTGTAAAATGAGGGGTTGATCTTGATTTCTAATATCCATCCTTGCTCTGAAATTTGATTTTGATGGTCATGTTCCCCATTTACGTTATTTGCTGTGAACTAGGCTGTCTCCTAAGCTCTGTCATGTGATGATTGAAGAGAGTAGGTCAATCTGCTCTTCCAGAATTAATCCATCTGAGAAATCCTATAGACTGTCCTATAGAAGTCAGAGCAGGCTAGGCTCTGTCTATTCTTTTCAACCTAAGGGTACGTAGCTGAAAACCTATTCTGTGAAACATTAATATTTTAATAATTTAAACCACAGTTAAAATTATTCCTATCATTTGGATATAATATTTTTTAGTTGCTTTCCTGTTCATTTGTTTGTATTTGTTGGACGAATTTATTTGATCCACATTTGAAAACAAACAAAAGCCAATGCTTTGAGTTAGATATTTTACAAATGAGACAACTGAAGCCTGAGAAGTTGTGGCTTGCGTAAAGATTAGTAACCTTAGCTGTCATATTGATTGGACACTAGGAATATGACATTGCTAGATGCTGTGTTTAAAAAAATTTTCAGGGCTGAGCCCATGGCGCACTCGGGAGAGTGCGGCGCTGGGAGCACGGCAGCGCTCCTGCCGTGGTTCGGATCCTATATAGGGATGACCAGTGCGCTCACAGTGCTCACTGGCTGAGCGCAACGCGGCCGGTCTCAAAAAGGACAAAAAAAAAAATTTTTTTTTCAGTCCTTAAAAATTATCAAGAAATATGTTATTAGAAGTTATTCTTACATTCTTAAAACAGCTTTATAGGAAACTGACTCAGAGAGGTTAAGTGACTTCATAGTGACACATATCTAGAAAATGACAGAGCTGGGATTAGAATCAGTCTGGATATCTCAAAGCTTGTGTTCTTTCCACTTTTCCCAGTAATTAGCTTTATGGCTGGGACTAGGGCCTGTGTTTTGTTATTTCTCAACCCATAGTTCACTATTTGGATTTTCTACTTATTTTGTTAGGAAGCTTTTTAAAATTTTTTTGCAGTTGATGTGCCACTTATCCCTTTTCAGAGCCTTGGATTTGGGGTCTGAGTGAGCAGGTGTTGATAATAGGCTAACAGTTTTGTCAGCAACTCCAGACTAATTCCGTTTTTCTTCTACTTCTGTAGAGTTTATATCCCCTGTATCTATGTGTTAAATAAGATTGACCAGATCTCCATTGAGGAATTGGATATCATCTATAAGGTGCCTCATTGTGTACCCATCTCTGCCCATCATCGCTGGAATTTTGATGACCTGTTGGAAAAGATCTGGGACTATCTGAAACTAGTGAGAATGTATGTCTCTGTGGATAGAGTAATGTTGTCATAGGATTTAAACCAACTTTCCCTAAAATGATACCCTCTGGAGCTCATGATAAGTAAATTGGTTCCTATAATCTACTAGGTTGTATTGAAGGCACTTTCTTCCTCAAGTTGGAGGTTATCATGGTTTGATCTCAGGGGTGATAGAGGGCTGGTTTGCAATCAGCTTGTGAAGCATTCTAAGAAGGTGGCAACCTCTGTGCCCTCTCTATTCTAGTTACACCAAACCCAAAGGCCAGTTACCAGATTATACATCCCCAGTGGTACTGCCTTACTCCAGGACCACAGTGGAGGATTTCTGCATGAAGATTCACAAAAATCTTATCAAAGAATTTAAATAGTAAGTATCATGGACATATGATGCCTCCTTTTCCTTGTGAGCTACTGATTTTGCTAACTTGTAATTCTTAGGATAGCACTAAAGAAACCACACTGTAGGAAGGCTGCTGAAATGTTTGCTTGGTTAGAACTCTGCCGTGTCTTCTTAATACTATGCCTAGTTAGGGCAGGAAGAGCTCCAGAAGCCTCTTCAAGTCAGGAGGGCTGATACTACAAAAGGCCCTGACTTTCCCTGATTAATTCATCTTCCTCTTAGCAAACACATATATTAATTCTTCCTGTCAGGATCATACTGGCCTGCACTGGTTACTGAGTCTCCTTCTAAACCCTAAGCATGGGTAAACTCCCCCAATCTCTGTCTTATACTTTTCACTGCTGATACGGGGTGAAAAAAATTTTTTTAATTTTGTATTTTGAACTAATTTTAGACTTACAAGTTACAAAAATAGTGCAGTTTTCTTTTATCCCTCATCCCACTTCTAATGTTAGCAGCTCACATTACCATAGTACAATTAACAAGAACAGGAAGTTAGCATTTGTTCAATATTATTAACTATAGACTTTATTTGAGTTTTACTACTTTTTCTGCCAGTGTTCTTTTTGTGTTCCAGGAACCTACAGGAATTACATCTAGTTATTTTTCCTAAGTCTTCCAATGTCTAGTCTCCCAGTAATATTTCCTTAGACTGTCTTTGATGACCTTGACACTTTTGAAGTGTGCTCACTAGTTATTTTTTTGAATGTCCCTCAGTTTGGGTTTGCCTGATGTTCTCTCATGATTGAAGTGAGATTATGCATTTTTGGTAAGAATACCACAAAAATGATGATGTGTCCCTCAGTGCATCATATCACTGGATTTGTAATGTTGATATATCTTAGTGATGATGATATTGACCTTGATCTCTTGGTTAGGTTGGAGGAGGCTGAGTTTTTCCCACCGTAGAGATAGTATTTTTCTTTTTGTAATTGTTAAATATCTTGGGAGAGATACTTTGAGACTCTGCAAATCCTGTTTCTCTTCAAGTTTTTCCCTGCTGATTTTAGCATCTATCGGTAGAGCTTGACTGTGACGTTTATTGCTGGGTGTTTGCCTAATGGTGATTCTTTACTTCCCTCTTCCATTTTACATTTATTTATTGGAATTCTACTGTGAGTTAGAACTGTCACTTTTCCCCTATTTATTTAATCCATGATTTATTTATGTCAGTGTGAGCTCTTGGATATTTATTTTATTCTATAGGCTATATCCAATACTGTCATTATTTTGTTGCTCAAATTGTTCCAGCTTTTGGCCATTAGGAACTTTTTCATGTTGGCTCCTGTGTTCTTTTTTTTTTTTAAAAAGATGACCGGTAAGGGGATCTTAACCCTTGACTTGGTGTTGTCAGCACCACGCTCAGCCAGTGAGCGAACTGGCCATCCCTATATGGGATCCGAACCCGGGGCCTTGGTGTTATCAGCACCGCACTCTCCCGAGTGAGCCACGGGCCGGCCCCTCCTGTGTTCTTTTGATAAGCTACCATCTTTTTTTTTTTGAGCATTTCTTTACTTTTTGGTACTACCTGATGTTCCCGATTGATACTGATTTTGCCTGCACCAGCCCTGGAATCAGTCACTTCTCTAAGGAGCCCTGGTTTTCAAGATCTGGTTGCTAGATGTGCTCATTTCATTGCTTGTAGGCCCTCTTAACAGACAGAGTTAGGAAATATATGTATGGATACTAACCCGAGCTGACATATGCATCTGTATTTCTGTGCCATACAGCTGTTTTTTTTTTGGTTTTTTTTTTGGCAGTTGGCTGTTCATGTATCTACCTTAAAAACCCTGAGTTTATACTGTTATTTCTGAATCCAGTTCTATACAACAGGGTTCATTTTAACTTACCCCCTTTTCTTATTTTTAACTTCTTTTCTCCAACAGTGAGAAATCCAGCTGTTATTATCTATAATCTATTTATTTATTTTTAAAATTCTAGTATGTATGTGTGTGTGTGTGTATATATATGTATATACATATATATAATGTGTGTATATATATATAATGTATATATATATATTATATATATTATATATATATATATATAATGTAGTTCAGAATTGCAACCTATAGTCCTGTGAGAAATAGTTTTAACTGTATTACAGTATTTCTTAATAGCTCTTTTCATCTTCACAGGCTGAAAATTTCATAATTGTTTTAAAAACAAAATAAGAAAATAGAAAATAATTGTAGAAAATCAAGAAAGCATAGAAATTAGTAACATTTAAAAAATACTTGTTTCTGGTCCTAAGAATACTGAGAGAGTGAATTCCTTTATTGAGCTTCACATTCTTTTTATCTAAAACAACAACTATATTCCAAATGTTGGTGCTCATTACCCTATACTCAAAACCATTATACTTTGGCAATTACTTGCATCAGTGAAGATGGTTCTTGGAAAAAGTTAGACATTGTCCTTTTTCAAACTTGGTAAATATCTGTACAGCTCCTGCCTTCTGTGGTGGCAGAACACTGTTCAAAGCCTCTAGAACTGTAAGTGTACCAAGGAATTAAAGGGGAGAAAAATATTTGAAAGGAGAGACATATCAAAGTGAATACAATTTTATTTGGTCACTATTTTCCAGATTTCTTTTTTTTAAAAAATTCTTTAATTCTTTAATTATTTAATAGCATTTTTAACTAAATAATAGAAAAATTTTAGCTTTCAAGCCTACTAATTGTGTTTTCCTTGTATTCCAAGATTCATATATGTCATTATTATAACTGTATTATTTCCCATTTTTGCTACTTTATGTTTTCTAGTCTTCAGTCACAGACCTTTCCCTTTTTATTTCCTTAGTTTAAAAATAGGATTAATGATTGTATGGCTTTTGATATGTTTTGCTGTATTGCTTTCCAAAAGGACTGAGCCATTTACATTGCCATCAACAAAACAGGAGATACCAACTTTACTGTAGGCATTGAGTATGATTGCTAACAACTAGTTGTCTAGTTTAAGGTAGTAGAATGGTCACCTTGCATTTATCTAGATATATTTGCTTGTTAGTGCATTTGAAAAATTTTATGTTTGTTTTACTAATTCTGTTATGTTATATTCCTGATACTTATCTTTTTTTTTTAAAGTGGTATCTTGTTTAGTGATTTCTTTTTGTAATATAGATTTTTAAAGAACTTTTGGTGCAATGACAAAATAATAATAATATGGCCACTTTTTTTTATGCATGGTATGTAGTGTTTTGTTCACCATTTTCCATCACTAGCACAACATATTCTTAATTTTGGAGGTCCCTGGATGCAAGTTTCCTTCATATGTTCCAAGAAATAAGGAGGACATATTAATTACAGTTCTTGATCGGGAGGGAGGATTTTCCTAGTGTGGCTGAGGAGGGAGATCCTAATTTCCTGTCATTACCCTCTGATAGTTTCAGCAGTCTCAGTAAAAACAGGTATTCTCTAGCAGTCAGTAACTGATGTGGTATCTATAAAAATCAGTCTCTAATCTGAATTTTTCAGGGTATTTCTCCGTAACAAATCCATGTTCTCTCCTTTAATTTTAAACTAGTCTCTTCACACTATTCATTTGTTTTTTGGTCTTTGACTTTCTTAAACTGACTCTGGAACAGGAGAAACCACACAGCTTCCAAAAGTCTCTGTCACCTCGTATGTGAAGGCTTCAGAGTGATATGCTGCTGGGGAAGATAAAGCCTCTGGGCTTTGAGTATGGTCCTTGACCTGGAAGAAGGGCCTTTGACTATTGCAGATCTTTGGCTCTTAAGGGCTGGGATGCTAAATCTGAGCAGAAGTGTGGCATCTGGGCAAATAGGGCAGAAGCTAGGTTTTTATTTAACTGATTCTTCTTTTTTCCTTTCCATACAGTGCTCTGGTCTGGGGTCTCTCTGTGAAACACAATCCTCAGAAAGTGGGTAAAGACCATACGCTGGAGGATGAGGATGTCATTCAGATTGTGAAGAAGTGAAACCTTCCTCTTTTCCCATATGCTGGGTCAACCACATCAGCTTTCCCCATGACCAAGCAACGTGCCCCAACCCCTTCTGGTTTTGGCAGCCATTGGATCAGGGGAGGGAGATGGAGGCACTCAAACTGGAACTTCACTTGTTTTATCTTGGTGTTACCTTGTATGTTGAACTGCATAAAAGATCTGCTAGGCCAGTTGGCTATGTGCAGTTCATGTGTCATTGTCAGAATTTCTTTTGGGATGGGCTGAATGAAGAAGGGTATATATAGTGAGGCAGCTACATAAGGGATAACTGGGAGCTTGCTCTTGAGTGTGAAATGGATAAAAATGTGATGTGCAACATCTGATTCGATGTTTACTCTTTGGAAACCCTTTCAACTGGACGTGGCCTCCATCTGATTTATGATACTAGAAAGAGGAAGGATTTGATGTAAGTTAAACTGATTATTCCCTGCTAGCCCATTTTGGGAGATAATGAAGTGTGGCAGTTGAGTAAAGTATTCCAGCCAGGCACATTCGGGTTTGAATTACAGGTCCACTTCTAATTAGTTCTAGAAACTTGAACAAATTATTTAACTTCTGTGAGCTTCAGTTTCCTCATGCAACATGGGGATAGTAATAACCACCCTTCTAGGGTGGTGATTGTTAGTATTAAGGGAGATGGTACTTGTAAATTGTTTAGCACAGTGTCTGGCATATAAGTACTCAGTGAATGTTTGCTCTTGTCACTGGGCCCTTTACTGGGCTCCCCCTCTGCCCTAGTAAGAGCATAGCTATAAATTATCATTGTTGAGCTGAACATTGAACTGATCCATCCTGCCAGCTAGGCCGTTAAATGTCTCCTTTCCCATAGCCCAGCCTTTCTGCTTGAGTCCCATGGCAGTCCTGGCCTCAGCCACATAATCTGGGTGAAGGCATGAAGGCAGAACACTGCAAGTGAGGCAACCAGTGTGACCAGAGCAGGTTTGTGTGTACACATCTGTGTATATATGGAGGTAGGAGGGTAGGTTAAGAGGATGGTTGGCATCAGGAGTACTTGAGGGTGCTAAGGGTCAGTTTGGGGTGCTTGGAATCAGAAAATTTAAGGGGATTGCTTATGTGTATTAGTCCGTTTTTGTTGCTTATAATAAAATACTTGGAACTGGGTAATTTATAAAGAAAAAATTTATTGTGTACATTTTCTGAGGGTGTGAAGTCCAAAGCCCATCTGGTGGTGGTGACAGTAACCCAGGGGTCTCACATTGCAAGATGATGTAAGCAGAGAGAGAGAGAGAGACAGACAGACTCTCCTTTTAAAGCCCTCAGAATCACGCCCCTGCCCACCATTTTTAATCCATTCACTACTGCGTGGTCCTACCATCCAATCACCTCTTCAAGGCTTCACCTTTCAATTACCATAATAGGATTTCCCACCCTCTTAACAGTCCCAGTGAGGGCTAAGTTTCTAATACATAAAACTTGGGGGACACAATTCAAGCTTCAGAGAGTTTTGGGGGGACATAATTCACTACATTATGTGAACTGGGAATAAGGGAATTTAAGGGGATTGCTTATGTGAAATCAATTGGAAAAAATTTTGGTGTGGCGGGCTAGTGAGAGTATGGGCAGAGGTGAGGTGTAGGCCCATAGGTACAGACGAGAAATCTAAACTTGGTAATTGACTTGTTCTTTGGAAGGAAAGTCAGAGATTATTTCTGTATGGAATATAGGGATGGTAGAGTAGCATTAGTCCCTAAGAAAACCTGGAAAGGAAACAGATTTGTAGGAAGACAGAATTTGATTCTATCTTCAAATGATGAGAGCTAGAGCTTTTAGCAGGTTGTAAGGGGTGGGGATGTGGGATTATCCACATACTCAGCCTTTGTTCAGTGCTTGTCCCTCCTGCTAGCTGAGTGAGTTGTTTCCCTTTGATAGTCTTCCTGGAGGCTGGGCTTAGCACTGTCTCCAGACCCAGGAGATAAGCCCCTCAGGCTTGGTATTCTAGTCACTTTCCAGAACAGACCTTGGCATCACTGGTGCATTTATGAAAGAGGCCATGATCTAGAGCCTGCCCCAACTCTGCAGGGAATAAGGGAAATATTGGCTTTCTGGCCTATGGGATTTCCAGCAAGGTTTGCTCTCCAGCCAGAGCATAAAATTGATTTTCATTGAGCAACCATTTAGCACTGCCAGGATGTTGGGAAGAGAAAGTTGCTAAAGTTCAGTTCATCAACGGTCTCAGGATGTGCTTCAAATAGGCCTTATGTCCATCATTAAACACTCTCCCCCTCATCTGCAGCCTCCTAGCCCTTGAGGAAGGCATTACCCTACTTTTCCCTTCCCTCTCCTTTGGGTTTAAACATTGCAGTTCTGGGAAAGGGGTGCAGTTTGGTGTGAGGAGTTCTGCCTGGGGTAGGGCCACTGAAATGGTGCATTCCTATAACTAAAGGCTTTCTTCTCATCAACTGTATATCAGTCCATTTTCTTTTGCTCCTAACAATACCTGAAACTGGGTAATTTGTAAAGAAATAGAATTTATTTCTTACGGTTTTGCAGGCTAAGTGCAAGGTCAAGAGGTACATCTGGTGATGGCCTTACTGGTATAGAGCTCCACAGAGACACAGGGTATCATATACACATAATGAAGGCTGGGCAAGAGCACTTAATGTGCTCTCCTTATAAAGCCACCAGTCTACTCCCTGATAACCCATTAAACTGTTAACCCATTAAACTGTTAACCCATTGCTCCATGGACTAATCCATTCATGAGAGCATAGTCCTCACAATCCAATCACCTCTTAAAGGCCCCACCTTTCAAATATATTGGGAATTAAGTTCCACGGGAGCATGGGGGAACATTTAAACCACAGTAACCTCTTTATAGGGATTTGACTATTATAGCATGGCTTAAATTTCCCATGCTGTTACATATTCCATGTGTCTTTCCTGACCTTCTTTAGCACAACGAAGCAGACCCACTATTCCGTGCCATTAATTAGAATGCTTTTAGCTGCATTTAATGTAAAGCACTAACTTTAACCAGCTGAAATGGAAAGAAACTAGGTCTCTCACAGTTGTCTGGAGCTCATGTGTTTGTTCATGGCAGCTATTATATCATTGAAGATCCAGGTTCTTTCTGTCAGTCTGCTCTGTCCACTAGAGTTTGTTGGCTTTGCTGGTAGCTCCCCTCATGTCACAGAATGTCTGCTGCAGTCCCAGGCTCTACATCAGCAATCCACAGGGTTGTAGAGGGCTGAATCTTATCTTTTTGGGAAGCCATTTCCTAGAAACTGCCTGGCCAGTTTTTCCTTGTGTCTCATGGTCTAAATTGGTTCACATGGCCATTCTTGAGTCAGAGTAACTCTTGGTAAAGGGAATAGTAATACTGAAGAACCAGAGTTTACCCCCGTAAGTTACCTTTATTCCTGAGCTCTTTCACAAAGAAAGGGCTAGTGGACCCAACTTCCCTTCTCTCTTAAGCCTGGCTTGTAAGACACTCAATAGCTATCTCCTGAAAGAATGCCTAGCTGCACTCTACATTCATTTTATTCCTACTTCTTGATTACCACTGGCCTCCCAAGCACTAGCTGCCCAATTTCTTCCTTTGTGGAGGCACTTTTGCTCTCTTCCTGACCTCCCGCCTCAAAGGTAGTTTTTGAGGTTCCCTGTGTTCCTAAGCTCTTTTACCTTGAGGATGCCTAAATCCTTAGCTTCAAGCTTATTTTGCACATCCTTCCAGATGATTGCTTCTAAACTTGTTTTATGTCTCCTAGATATCCCAAAGTTGCTCCAAAGCCATCTCTTGTTAGCTGAGACATCCCTTCCTCTCTGCCCTCATATCAGTTCCTGGAAGACTGCATTAACTTTCTCTTTTCTGTCCCCTTCCCCTTCCTCCAGTCCATCATGTATACCAAAATGGTTTTGCTAAAACCTGTATGCCTAGCTTCTGCTGTGATATTCTTAGCAACAGTCTCTTATTTCCTTTTGGCTCCATCATGCTCAATCTGCAAAGCTGGGTTTTGTTAAAAGGTTACCTGCTGGGCCGGCCCGGTGGCGCACTCGGTAGAGTGTGGCGGTGCTCCCGCTGAGGGTTCGGATCCCATGTAGAGACCGGTCCGCTCACTGGTTGAGCGCAGTGCGGGCGCGACACCGAGGGTTGCGATCCCGTTACCGGTCACGAAAAAAGACAAAAGGGGGGAAAAAAAAAAAAGGTTACCTGCTTTCTTGTGTTCCTGGAAGTACAGGGCAGGGTGGGCAGTTCCAGGTTTACAGTCAACACTCCTAACACTCAAGACTCCTACCAGTCAAAATTCAACCACCTTCCCCTTCACCTGTAAATTGGAGAATGACTCCATGCTACCCAATGAAGTCAAAATAGCTTTTATGGCCCTAAATGGACGAGTATCTAGAACTCAGGCAAATTAACTTGAGGAGCTTGAGAAATAAGTATCACCTCAGGTCAGTAGTACTGAAAAAACTTCAGTAAGGAAAGGGGATTCAAGATCCTATAGTATTCTAGTAGAATCCTCTTCCTCCAGTGCTGTGTGTAAGATGAATAATAAAACAATTGTGAGCTGAGGAATGAGTTAGAGAATACAGGAGTCTTAGCACAGGCATCAGTCTTAAGATGGTAAGTCTTACAACTTGAGAAGTTCCATATGGACAAATTAGACTTTAATGGATTGGATCAGAACTCTTGGGCTGGAGAGACAGGATGCCCCAGTAAATGTGAGGTTTGGGAGAAGCTACCACACACACTTGTACATGATTCTCCGATAAACAAATTGTTTTCACTAGGTGGGTTTAATTTGGGGAATTACACTATAGATACCCTGTATTAGCCAAAAGTCTACCTAGAGGGTCAGTCCAGCCTAAACTGATCCAGGAAGAAAGCCATAGCTTTTTCCTCCTAACAAGACAGAGTTCAATTCTATGAGTTTTAAAGAAAACTTCCCTCAGGGAACATATTGAGCCTCATGGCTTAGCTGGTTAGAAACAAGAAGGAAGGGATTCAGGGAGGAAATGAACACGATAATGCCATTCTTCATTCACACACTTAGCATATGCAACTTTAATCAACCAAAAGAAAAAAAAAGTCCCAAATGTACAAGTGAAAAAAATCCAAATTGTTGACACAGGCTTAATATCAGCTACTTTTATGTACAGCTGTATAAGTTCAAAAAAGCTATCCTATATGTATATACAAAAGTTGTTTATACACAAGTCTGTACATAAGGGTCTATACATTTATTTCCTCAGAACCCTTAGGTGCCATCTCCCGGTGAGGACACCAACACTTCATTCACATATCTTACAAAAAAGAAAGACTGTTTCCAGGATTGACAACACTGCATCCCATATTCAGACTACGTAGTCTCCACTCGATTGGTTAAGATCCTTTTGTCATAATGCAGACCACGCCAGGTGCATGAGCCCTCCCAAACAGCTTCGCACAGGGTGCTCCAAAGTAAAAGCCTGTAAACCAACCCGAGATAAGGAAGCAGAGTCCTGACTAGGGTGCCACCATAGGTCCAGGCTTAGGTAAGCCTGCCTGCCCTGCTCACTGTCGGTATTCCAATTCATCTACACTGATGACTTTAGCAGGCATGGAGGGAAGGGGCTGCTGCAGCACATCTGAGCCAAACCATTTGGCGAGGCCCACGGGGGAGCTGCTTCTCTGGCTGGGGCGGTGCTCCAGCTGAGAGTGCATGTGGGGCAGGCCTGACCTGCTGGGCACATTCTGAGGGGTTGTCTGAACACTGACAGCTGCTGCTTGGGAACCAGAGCCTGGAGGATGCAGAACTGTGGAGATAAGAAGGGTTATCATTCACAGCATGAGTGAGAAAGTAGTTCTTTATTAGGTCCTGCTTCATTCAAACCTTATCCAAAAAGAAGTCTTTACCAGAGGATTTATTCTAGGGCTTCTTTAGAAAACTTTGCAAAATGCCAACAATGCCAGAACATGGTTCCTTGGAAAGCTAAACTATTTAGAAGCCATCAATATTGAAAACCCACCCTGGATGACATGACCACTACTACCCATGGCAAGCAGCCCCATCACAGAAGCACTAACATTAATTAGCTGGTGAGAGGATATCTACCCTGGATAGGCCCTATGCTAAACTGCTATTGGAAGCCTTCTCTCCTAAAAGGCAAAGAAAGCCAGAGCA